ATATACAAAAGGAAATACAAGGGGCACCATAAACTTTGAGAACCCTATCTGTATATATATATATGAATATACGGTCTCATGAAATCAAAGTTGCCAAAGTAGAGCCATCATCACCATCATTGATGTCAAGGGTCATGTCCGCAAGGCCATAGGGGTCTTCAAGAGCTGGGCACTCTTCAGGGTCGTTGTCAAGGGCCGGGTACTCTTCAGGGCATGGGTGTGGAAGGCCTGCATCTTCAAGGCCTGCTACTTGAAGCCCATGCACATCTCCATGTGACGACTCGGGGGCACCGTGTTCTAGCTTTGGCTGCTGCGGTTCGTGCTTGGTGTCGGGCAGGCTTTTCATCTCCTATAGTCATTCTGGGAAACATACAATGACACAATAGCAGAGGTGTGTGTTCTATACTATTATAAGTAATCAACTAAGCCTACATAACATGATGACCCATTTTAAGTCCTGAAGAAGGCTGGCCACGACAGCCGGGTCATCTGGTAGACTGGCCAGGATTTTGGCCGCATCCAGGCAACTCAAAGCAGACATCAGGGAGCTGCATGACCACTGGCGAGATACAAGACGCTCTGGGGCATCCGACATAGTAACAACAAGTCCCCAAACAAAAACAACCAAGAAGTTTCTGGTTCGAGCAGGGGCACGAAGGCGTCAAAAGGCTTTCTAGAAACACTCAGAAATACCCAATATTCTGCATGGGACTTTTTGGGTCCTGCATGGATTTCGGTTGGGCGTTGTGTGGGTGTTCCTGGGTGGGATTTATTGGGCGATACTTTTCGAGCGTACACCCAAAAAATCCTGCACGTTACACGGGTGAAGCTGGTGCCTGCATGGGTGTTCCTGGGCTAGTCGGGTATTCCTGGGTGTTTCGGTGTCAGAATTCTACCCCAGCACGTATAAAAAGGGTTCAAAAGCCATACGAACACGATGCAAAACAACACCCAAGAATCTTGGGGGTTATGTACAAAGCCAACCAGGTACCAGGTACCTGCAAGTAGCGTTATAGAGCCCCCAAGATACTCGTCATAAGAATGGCAGGCAGGTGAGGACTCACCTCATTTTGCAGCACAAATGTCCTGACTGAGTCCTGAAAGCTGGGCTTTTAAACAGCTTATATGGTTGCACCGTGGCAAGTTCTGCCTAGAGGGTTTCCGGAAGAAGTGGCCTCCATTTAGCCGGAATACGCAAATCTTTTGAACCGTACAAATATTTGACTACATCCAGCATCTCAGCTGAGCTCCATGAGGAATCATCCCAACTCCAGTTTGCCCAGATGTCAGTGGCCTCTGCTAAATCAGCATCCTGAAAGACAGGTCGGGGAGCTCTGGAAATAAGAGTCTTCATCTCCTCCGCGATTTTGGCCCCAAATTTGAAAGTGTACTTCCTCAGCAACCATGGTGACAAGAAAATTGTGGGGCCAAGAAAACTGTAGATTGATGTAATAAATTTGAAGCACCTAGTACTGAACAACTGAGCATATGTCCCTGTTCCCTTCAACTCGCTTGTCCCTTGGAACCGCTGTCGGCCCCCAGCATCCTTGTATTTTCTCGTAGGAGCCTGCCGGTTCTGCGGATTCCTGGCCTGCTTCTCAGCCCGGACTTCGGCCAAGTTGAGGCGCCCCCTCCAGAAAGTTCTGATTGCTGAGCTGGGAGACCACAATACTGTAGGCTTTGCTGTCCTTGATTGATAATGCCACATCCAGAACCGGCATTTGAATACCTGTGCAGGGGTTAGATCGCCGTAAGTGTAAACGCATAGCATTATAGAAGGATCGATTCCCTATACACAATTAACGTGATATTGGGTGACCTTCTAATCTAACACCCTCTTCAAAACGCCCTTTATTCTGCCTGGAGCAGGCCGCAGACCATCTGCATAGGGTCCGATTCGATGAGGATGGAACTCCCCGGTTGTTCTATTACCCAAACCCCCCCCAAGGCCGAAGTGGCCAGGCAGAGGAGCGCCACCCTGATCCAGAATGAGTGGTGGTTGAATCTTCTATTCGTTGCTTTTCGTAGATATCTGAAGAATGGTAGACTAGCATTTTGCTAAGTTAGTGTCAGGAAGCCGCCAAGCCATCAAGTTTGAGGCGTCAACAGATGGCAAGCCTTGACAGCCAGCTGGGTTGATCATCGAACGTCCCGTGGAGCCTCTGCTGGTGGTAACCCAGCTGCTGCACAGGACCCCCATCCAATGGAGGAATCCGCTAGGAGATCCGCGGCACACCGCCACTAAAGCTGCCCTGGGACTACATACAGAGTTTGGGGAACAGCAAAGTAGGAGTTTAATTCAGCATCAATTAAAAAACAACAGCCCTTTCCATCCTGGCCCAGTAGCGCAAAACCGCTTGCCCGGGTGAAGTCAAATGACGAGGAATACAAAATGTCTAAGGGTACACTCTGCATCTCTGGGAAGGCCGTCTTGACTGCATTCGTTGCCACAGCAGATCCAGCAAAGCTTTCTATAAAGCCGTAACTGTGTTCCTGCAATCTGGAATGTAGGGTCTGTGTTTCCCTGGGACCTTATATATATATATATAATCTAAACAAAAAGCATTTTGGGGGGGCTTATACAAGTATCGTTTCTACCCAAAACTTCAGACCGTTCCCTTCCAACTTTTTAGGGGCTGAAAGCCATGATGCATCCCCTTCCAATTTTGTGGGATTTCAAAACTTATGTGCATATACATACACATCTGTAGAAGTCCTCCAGACTCCCCCTGAATAATTGAGGCCTTTGTACACCCCGAACCCCTGGCTACTCTACAGGCCCTCATAGAACTGGGAAGATCGGCTGTTATAGGGCTTAATTGAGGGATCCGGTGCATGTGAACATGTATAGTCTTGCATAGCCGCCCTTGGGTATTTATCGGGACCCTCCCAACACTCACATTGTAATTGTTTTTACAATCATCAGTATATATGACTGGGCAAACCTTATGGTTGCCGGCTCCAAGGTGGCCTGCTCTTCGAAAGAAATCGCCTCGTTCCAGAGTAGCAGAAGGATTGCGAAGGCCAGCACCTGGGAAGGGATCCCTGTTGAACAAGGGTCACATCCTTTATAGATTTCAATTGGAGTTACAAGATTATACAGGGTTTGTATAGGGATTATCGAGGGATGGTACATATACTATAACAGTTCTCAGTACGCCCTACAGAGGAGACCAAAAGGTGCTCTATAGTCTATATGGGGTTATACACGGCTTATAAGGGTGTATATATATATATNNAGAGAGAGAGAGAGAGATGGTTTGTCGGGTGTCTAGGATTCAATAGGGTTTATGGGGACTGTTTGGGGTGGTCGCACAGAATTAAGTGGAGGTTGTTTCTTTGTAGCAGCTATATACACCACCTTTGCGGCCTGGAAACCACACTTACAGAACGATATATAACTATATATACCGAGTATATAAATAAACCAAGATACCTATGTAGGTAGCAAACAAAAAAGTTGTAAATGTGTCTACAAGGATGCCTTGGGAGCTCCTACATACTGTAGCCGTGCCAGGATCTGTGCTTCGGACCAGTTGGCCATTGCAGCTTCCTTGCAAAACCTACATATAGGAGGTGCGGCCAAGACTACTTAAGGGACCATTGAGGGTGGACATAGGTATTTTACTGAATTTGTATTGGCCCGAAAATATTCCCTGATAAGGCCCCATGGCCATTCATTGTTTTTACAAAGAGTGTTGGCCGTGGCTTATATACACAGAGTATTCGTACAGGATTTTTTTGTAAGCCACCTAGGTTCTCAAAGGCGCTTGAGTAGAGGCAGGACAGAATGTAATTGGGATACTTGCCCATGCAAGGAAAGCCCAGAAGCGCAAACATCTTCGGCAGACGCATATGGGCACATACAGATACAAGCATTCCTGTGGAAACCATGCTGCACAAGTAGACCCCATAATCATGCCGGATTCTGCCGCCTTGCTGTTGCCCATCTAGCAAGCCAGCTTTCACCGCCCTGCGATTGCCCCGCAAGCCAGTCCAGACCTGCGCGGGGAAAAGAAGATCCCACTCTTAGGCTAAGGAGAGACTCTGGAGACTTGCCTATTCGTGCAATCCACTCCCCCAATATTAACCACCCCGGAAATATGAAATACCAGCAATTATATATGGAAGTCCTATATAGCCAAGTAATTAATTGAAGCCATAACATGTATCATGGGAAGATCAATACAAACTGGGCAGGTTCTACTTAGGGGAGGAGATTACAATGTGCAATTCTCGGAGTCAGGAGAAAAGGCCGGGTTGTTAAATGTTTTGCCTCCTTGCAAGACTTCTTGGACGAAGCGTGTCACAGCAACGCAGTTGGCCGCTGTACGTAGCAATCAAGTAGCTAGGAGCCCCTACAAGCAGAATTTCAGCTGCCTTTCCAGCAACCTCGGAAAATGCCAGTCTTGGCCCTGTGATGCGTTTATAGGCTTGAAACCCACATAAGCTAGACTCTTATTTAGTTTCATCTAGTGGGTTTGTTGGCCAACTGCAACAGTTTTTAAGGTCCCCATAATTCAGTAACATCCGGAAAACGCATAACAGGTTCAAGATACCAGTGCATTTCTTGAACGTGCCCACCAACATGCCATCTCCTACATGGAAACTCATTCCTGAGGACTATACAACTCCTTTCCCTTTCTTGGTGAGATTGTGGGGCCCCAAAACAGTACGAAGATTTGTATGTAGCTTCTGCATGTGTAATATCCGTTGCAATGCCACCATTGCAATGGCTTCATAACCGAGACCCTGAACAAGAACCGCGAACCAACCCCAAAGGTAGGCACACTTAACTTCCCTATTTTGTTATGTCCCCCAAACNNAATAGCAAGGCTCCAACTCCAGAACCTTTGTATGCCTGTATACACGTTGTTAAAGATTTTACTTAAGTCAATTAACATGTAGCACCATCCTGGGCACGTAAGGCAGTTGGAAAGGCATCTTCAGCATCAAAAAGCTGGTTCATCCTTCAGAAGCACAACAGCTGGCGCAGAAACACTAAGGGGTTGACTACTACCCTCGCATGACTCGAGCGCTCTCATGCACCCTGTAGTCCGTACACCCTGGCTCTCCGCCCTATCTGTCAGGCTCGCGCACGGAGGATGGAGACCATATCAGTCCATGTGCTCCATGTCATCCTTTGGACTCCTGGGCTCAGCAAGGGAGGAGTGGTTAACTTTGATATTATACTGGGGTCTGGTAAAGGGAGTTCATCTTGGGGGCAAAGTCATGAGATGGGCAACCAACATTCTTTGTGCCTCTATAGACACGTAAGTTTTCCAAGTGGTTCCTGCTTCATGGGGTCTATACAAGAATTCCTGCCGGAAGATGACAATTGAAGCGCCAGTACTGTATATAGGGCTTAGGTAAGGCAAGGAGCTTGAGGAATTCAGTGGCAGCTGCCGGGATGTATCCCCATGGGTTTTCCTTATCATCCCACGATTTCGCCTTCTGCTGCACCATCGTGTAGAACTGGTACTGTCAGGGTGAAATGGTTTGGACCCGTCGTTTTCTGGCTGGATGCAATTAGGCTCTCAACAAAAATGACTGAGATGATTAACCCCAACCCTATCACAACCCCAATAACCTGACCCTAAATGTCCTCAGCAGCTGTCTTGCCACCCTCTACCACAGTTGGGGCGATGTAGTAGTTGTAGGCATG